AGACCGTTTGGCGCCAGAGAAGCAGGATGGCGCGAAGATCAATAGGATGGATCTCTTTTGAATACGGTCGTGGTGGGAATACTGGCCTGACCTAACAGGAACTGAAATAGAAGATGGAAGCAGCACAACTGGGGTTATTTTCTTGAACCCAGCTGTCAACTAACTTGCAACTTTCAAGGTTCAAAAAATATAAAAGGTTGAGAAAAATAGAATAGATCTGGATGATCCAAAATCGCTTAAGCAGCCGGTTCAGCGGGTTCTTTTTCGAGTTGGATGTTGGTGCCGCATAATATCGATGATGAGGATATATGTTATGATAATGGGCAACATAATATATTATGATTCCAGTTTTCGTCCCACCCCGTCCAGATTTTCCTACTGTTGAAACACTTGGTGAATTGTTGGCAGAAGATTACCAGCCCGGACTGTGAAACAGGAGAGCTGGTTGCTCGAAGAGAAAATGTGCCAGGAATCCATCTAATAAGTCTATTGAGGCATTGAGCATTGCGACAGAAGGAGGTATGTTGGGTTTCAGATGCAAGCTAAAGTTGCAAACCGCAGACCTCAAATATTGTCATGTGGTATATCTGTGCTGTTTCAGATCTAGATTAGAAGAAAAAGAAAAGAAAAGAAAGAGGTGCATGAAGTCTCGATCATTAATTAATTTGCTTCAGCCAACACCTCACTGGTCCTTAAAATCCGGGATTGGTCAAAGAAGGTCGCAAAATCAACAAGTATACTCCGTATGTATTCACTATTATCCCTGGTTTGATATGTGAATTCACATAATAATGGGAACGGACAAAAGATTGAGCAGTTCTAGCTGGGTGGTGATGAAGTTTCAGTTGTCATCTTCTGCACAGAGATTGGATGTCGAACTTACAACTTAAGAATATAATATATGATTTTGAGATGGAACCGGGAACTGAACAAAAGACATCACTTGGAGCTATTGCATGTAAAGTGTCTGCTGGTCCCCGCGTGGGAAGAAGAGGAGCAGGACCGGAAAAAGAAAACAAAAGCCGTTCAGCACTCGCATGTCTTTTGCAATCCTTCGTCCAGCCACTCCCCTTCTTCAATGGAGAGGATTGGATGCTCAATAGTTAAAATGATACAAGTTAGAGCAGATAAACCAACCTTGTTTCCAACATCCAAACACCATCAACCAACCCAATTAGATATTCGCCAGTCTCCAATCTTCGAACTTCAATGATAACGGAACTATGGAAGCGTTAGAAGAATTAAAGGCAAAAGGAGAGATGTAAACACGTCTATGCACGTAACGTCGTCCGGAATTGCACAGTCCATAGCCTGCTGCTACCTGCCCCGTTTTTTTTTTTTTTTTTTTTTTTTTTTTTTTTTTTTTAATTGGTTCAAGTGGGATGATGCGCTACGAAGTTCAGTTACTAGATCGTATCAGCGGCACATAACTGCGGTTCTCGTACAGCCCCATGCTGCACCAATAACAGCGATTGTATGTGTTCGCAGCCACTGGCATATTAGAGAAAAGATTAAGCACATGCGTTTTTCCAGATAAACAGTTTCTACTTAATTTTAAACCCGTCTACAACGTGTGCTGAATAATCTGGAAGACCATAGTTAACTAACTACGTTAACTAATAACAGGAGTTGGTAAGTACATAATCCAAAGAAGTGAAAAGAAGGGCTATAAATGATCATATGCTATTAAGTCAACGTCATCATATCCCAGAATCCACAAATAAACTCGAGAAAGAAGGATGAGTGCTCGCAGCCAACGAATGAATATTCGGCGTCCAAGAAGTTGGCAACAGCTAACTTTTGAATAGGTCGCCCTGATACATTTGGCTCTACTACAGGTTATCGTTTCAGCATCATCGTTGGCGTCATCTCCTTAAAGAAGTGAACGATCTGTTTCTCTATTACAGTATTATTATCTTTCCTTTGGTAACCGGTTGACTGATTGATATCCATCATCATCATCATCATCGTCATCATCACCAGCGTCATCACAACAAGTATCAAGCACCAAGATATCCACAATAAAAATTTTCAAAGTTTTTTTGACAATTCGAAGGGCGATCATGCCGAACCTTGACGCTTTAGGGGCAGAGGTACTTCCAGAGTCTTCCTAGCTTCTAATCTTTCACCTAAGCACCAGTCATAGCCATCCAGAGAAATGTCCGGTTCCGACGTTGGTTAAATTAAGTACTCCCCTTAGTTTAAGTATGTTAATCGGGAAGTAAAGTGGCGAGATTGGCACTCCGAACTATAAAATGTGTTGATTTCTTCCTCCTTTTTCCTGCTGGATCCTAGTTGAAAGTTTCATGAGATTGAACATAAAATCACGGGCAATTTCGCTTGGGTAAATATCTAGTTATCGCAATTATTTATCCCGAAGAAGCCAACTCTCTGGAGCGAAGTTCTAATTATTGATCAACCCATCCCAAATAAGCTGAAAGCTTCGGACGGGTCGACCGGGCTCAAATAATAAGCTTCACCAATTAACTAATACATTCCCTTCAACCTTCTGCCTAATCTGACGTTTCAACCCCTCAAGGTGTCAAGGATGCATCCACAATGCTACGAACCTCAAAGTTACAGTCTGACGACACTTACTCCATTGTGCGTGAGTTACTACCTCAATTTTAAGCCATCAAGGTGGAGAATCTGATCCAGATGGGCAAGGCCATGGCTGGAACATCCATGACAAACGTGAAGAAGCGGGACGCAGGGATTAAAAATAATAATCTATAAAAAGAAAATATTTCGCAACTAGTACGATAGAGGACAACGTCAGAGGATGTATGGTTAACTAGTATCCAGTGTCAGAAGTGCCTGATTTTGATTTGATCAGCGCTGCTGGTTGCGTTTATCTCCGAGAGTCCAAAAACCGCGACTGATTGGGCTGGATTCCCTTCCGAAATACGATGCAATGGCGAAAGACGCGACGCGACGAAAATGCAAGCAAACTAAAAGAAATAGAAAAGAATACCCGCAGAACGAGCGAGTGGTTCAGAACTCTGCTGCAAAATGAACAAGCCAAAGCACATTGTTGTTGTGATGCGCACAATGTATGGAATATGCCCATACGATGTCAAGACCGATTTCAAATCTCTCAACTAAAGGAAGTGGGGTACGAAAGCAAAGACAATGGGAGGAGGGAAAACTCTGCAATTGTCTCCAAACTATCGGAATTCATTCCGTTCGTTATCCCATAAGCCGCGGGGGGGGAGGGCCTTGAGACAAGGGCCTTGGGAAATGCTATTCTGATGCCCAATCATCGCGTTTGTGGTTTCCAGAGGGCATTATGAGAAGTTTGGGAATACGGGGTGTCGACGTTGGGAGTGAGTTTAGAATGTCTTCTGGCTTTCTTTTTGGCCGGGGTTTTTTTTTTTTTTTTTTTTTTTTTTTTCGGAAAAGGGAGGAGGTGGAAGGAGTTGGTATTCATGCAGCAGTCTTTTGCTTGCAGCCCAATCTCAAGCGGCGGTCCACCTCCTATTTATCATGGATTCCTGTGGATATCTGTGTGGAGTGAGTTGTAGAAATAATGGTTCGATGTTTATCTGAAGATTGAGGGTACGCTCAAGATATCCCTGTTGTGTGCGTGATACTATCCTACGAATCGTGCAAGCACTATATTTAAGCATATTTAGGCGCTTGGTTTGACAAGGGGGGACGATCTACGTCAATGCCAGAAAACAATCGATATGTATGTCCAACAAATAGCAGAACAGAAGGGTGATGATTTATGTCTGATCAAGAAGTCGACATGATTTGCAACTACGCTGGGAAGTGTGTATACATCCCTGGTACAACACATAACTACAGTGCAATACCAGATATATTTTCTTAAGTTATTCTGGAAGAAAATAGGTGACCCTTTCTCCCATGGCTCTTGTCCATCTAAATCCTAAACCCAATCAATATCGAACAAAGAACGCAACCAGAATCTTTCAAGATAAGTCGCAACAAGATTCAATGATGGCGTACCTGTCTTAAAAAGTCCGAGCGACTGCAAGCGGGTCGACCATGGAAACCCACCCCAAACACAAGGTATGTAGCAAAACATACTGCCTAGTTTAGTAAGGCAACTAAACAGCATACAAATACAGCAGATTAAAATAATAATTATAATAAATAAATAAATAAAAGAGGATAATTAAAATTGCAACAAACGAAACATAGCAGAGATTTTTGTTTTTATTTTTATTTTTATTTTTTGAAGCCTAAAAACTGATTGAATAAGCTTCGCAGCCAGTAATGAAATTAGATGCAAATTAAGCGCTTCTGCTGCGATACTGTGGCTGTAGTTAAGTTTTTCTTTCTAGCCTGCTGAATGTCGCTGACCTTCCTCCATAACTATATATTCGAGGCTGTGAAATTCCAAAAAAAGAAAAACGACCTTAAATACGTGATACCGGCGCGGCCGATGGGTTGGGGAGGGTGGGGATGAGAGATTAAAATATCAACGCCAATCGTGACAGTTTGACCCAAAATTGGGACCCTTGTTTGTGAGAAGAACAAAAAAGCGGGGAGATAGCCTCTGGCCAAAACCTTCTCCCGAGCTCTGGATGGGGTGTACATCCATACATCAAAAGCCATCGCGTGTCTCGCGCTTCCTGTACTCATGCATACAACACCCTGTTGTACCCATGCCCTCCTCTCCTTGCGACCTAATCGGTTTCAGCTGGGAATTCATCAGGGATACAAGTGCGTTGTATGTACTGTGCATGAACATGTGCGGTGCATAGTTCTTCCAAATTACCTTGCCCAGTAGTTAAACCAAATGTGCTCGTTGGGCTAAAGACCTATCACATCAACAACAAAAAAAAAAAAGAAAAAAAGAAATACCTCTCTCAAAAAGCCGTCTTCGGACGTACGAGGGAATAAAGTTCTATGACCTCCGGAGTATGTACGGCCTCTCCTGTTAGAGGCGGAGTATCCCGTTTTGCATCGGAGTCGACGAGCAACATACTAAATAGGTAAAGAAAATAGTAAGATTTAGCCAGCTATTGTGTTTACTGGTTAATTGTTTGGTTGCGCACATCGCGAAGCACCCTGATAGGCCGATAGTCAACCAGAGTCAACTTTTGGGGGTGAGGGTTCAAGAGTTTTGATTGTTGTCCATCCAAAATATCACAGAGACACTGAGGAGCATCAGCAGGGGTAGTATTCCCTACCTTTGCGCCTTGGTGGTTGTGGGGGTTAGGGGGAGGGGGAGGGGGATGG